CAAACCACGACCGAAGAGAGCGAAGCTTTGACTGTGGTCACCAGTCCACTGGACACCTCCTCGCCCAGGGTACTGGATCAGTTCGCCTCGATGTTGGCGGCGGGTAAGCAGGATTCCCAGACGCCCAGCAGCTCGGAGCAGCAACCAAAGACCTCCAGCGCTGTGACAACCAGCAGCAGTGGAGCCCCGAACTCGACACCCGGCAATGCCTCTAAGGAGGCTGGCCCGCCGGAGGATCCGGATCTGCAGATCCAGTTCGAGTACGTAAGGGCGCTGCAGCAGCGCATCTCGCAGATTAGTACCCAGCGCCGGAAGAGCTCCAAGGGCGAGGCCAATGCACCTGTGATAGAAGCTATGGAGGAACAGTCCAAGCCAAAGGAGGAGTCCCTGCCACCCTCAATGCGCCCGCGCAGCAGCAGCAGCTCCAGCAAGGTACCTGAGATACCCACCCTCAGCAGCAAGCTAGAGGAGATTACCAAAGAGCGCACCAAGCAGAAGGATCTCATCCACGATCTGGTCATGGACAAGTTGCAGTCGAAGAAGGCCCTGAATGCGGAGAAGCGTCTCCATCGCAGCCGTCAGAGGAGCCTCCTGACCAGCGGCTATGCTAGTGGCTCTAGTCTGAGTCCCACACCCAAACTGGCAGCGGCCTCCAGTCCCCAGGATTCCAATTGCTCCAGCCAGGCGCACTACCACGCCTCCACGGCCGAGGAGCCCAGACCAAAGCCGGCGGAGAGGGTGCTCCAAAAGTCCGCCACGTCCACCTATGTGTCGCCCTATCGCACTGTTCAGGCTCCCACCCGGAGTGCGGATCTCTACAAGCCGCGTCCTTTCAGCGAACACATCGACGGAAGTCTCCTGGACGGCTACAAGCTGGGCAAGACCTCGTCGTTCAATGGAGGAAAGTTGGGCGACTTTGCCACCCCCATTGCTCCTGTCAGAGTGAATCGTGGCGGCGGTGGAGGAGGCAATGGTGGCAGCACCATACAGGACATTGGAAATATTTCCGCCTCGACGGAGAACCTTAGAAGCGAAGCGAGAGCCCGTGCTCGTCTTAAGTCCAACACGGAGCTCGGCCTGAGTCCGGAGGAGAAGATGCAGCTTCTCCGCACCCGACTGCACTACGATCACAATCGCGGTCTCAAGTCCAAGCAGCTGGAGGAGATGCCCGGACAGGGCGAGCTCGCAGCTCGGGCACGCAAAATGAGCGCCTCCAAAAGCGTTAACGATCTGGCCTACTTGGTGGGTCACCAGCAGCAGCAGCAGCAACTGGACATGGATGCGGTGCTCAAGGCGAAGGCGGCGGACTTTATATCGGATCCGAACTTGGCGGCCAGCGGGCAGGAGAAGGCGGCGAAAACAAAGTCCGGAAGGAGGCAAAAGGACCCGGAGCGACGCAAGAGTCTCATACAATCGTTGTCCAGCTTTTTCCAGAAGGGAACCAGTACCACCAGTACCAGTGCCAAGGATCAGAGCATCCCAGCCGTTGGGGGTCACTCTGAGCCATCAGAGCGTCCCGGCACCAGCAGCAGTGGCACGCCCACCATCTCAGAGGGGGCGGGCGGAAGTGGCGGCGGAGGAGGTGGCGTCTTCAGCCGATTCCGCATCTCACCCAAGTCCAAGGAGAAGTCCAAGGTGAGTGTTAATCTGTGTAACTCCCATGTGGTTATGGTTGGTGTTAGTGTGACTGTGTGATACGCCACACCTCATAATTAGGGATAAGTCCAGGAGCAGCTCACATCCGGTGTTTTGTGTCAATATGTGTCTCATGAAATTTACAAATCTTTCCACCATTTGCAGTCTTGCTTTGATCTGAGGAGTTTCGGTTTTGGTGTAAGAAATATTTTAACTATTCTAAAACCCCATTCAAAAAATGCACTAAAGCTTAGTAATATTATTTGGCATGAACCTCCTTACTTTTCTAACCAAAATTAAATCATTTAATCCATCTAACTGGGCTTTGTCTGTTTGGCTTTCTTTGTGATTAACAAGTTCCGAAAACGATTTATTTTAATTTGGTTTCATTTATTTTATTTCCATTTTCTTTTACCCCAATTCCAGCTAAAGTTATTTAAGTCCTAAATTTAAGTTGCCTGCTGTATTATTTTATTATTTTCCACTTTGCCTCTTTCTTGATTAACATTTATGTTTAGTTTTATTTAATAACTTAAGGCAGCTATGATCCAAGGTTTTTTGGGGAGTGATATTATGTTGTGTGTCTTACACTTTAAGATTTTTGGTTTAAGACTATGTTATGTAGTTTTTAAGTTCAATGTGATGGATTCCCTTGCATGGTTGGTTTCCCAGGATTACCTTGGTTCGGTGGTTATCGGTTTGCCCTTTGAACTCTAAGGGTTTCTTTATTATTTGGACACCCACGCACGTTATATGTACAAAATATATATTATTTGGTAAATAACACTTCGTTTTTGATTGAGACTAGCTGTTTACCTTCTTGATATATCTTTTCCTTCATCGTTTGACACTGCTAAACCCAATACACACATACCATTAACCCGATATATATTCTGATACCTCAAAACACCATGCCACACCAGGACAAGGATATGCTCAGCAATGCCACATCTGCAACGGTCGCAGGTGCCACATCACAGACCAAACACTCGCAAGAACATCTGAACAACAGTCGATACCGAAAGCAAACGAACACTGCGAAAAACTCGAAACCCGAATCGTTCTCATCGTCCAGCCCGCAGCTCTACATACACAAGCCCCACCACCATCACCACAACCACCACCACCTGGCCGCAGCGAACTCCAGTGCCCTGGATGATCAGACACCGCCGCCCATACCGCCGCTGCCACTGAACTACCAGAGATCCGACGGTTTGTTGATCATCTTTATTAACCCATTTCGATCGTCCTGTCCAGACTGACTTTTGTTTCGTCCAATTGGACATTGACTTTGAAGGATTATAATTAAAAAGGTTATCATTTTTCAGATGAGAGCTACGCTAACGAGACACGCGAGCATAAGAAGCAACGTGCCATATCGAAGGCTTCACGACAAGCTGAGCTCAAGCGACTGCGAATCGCTCAAGAAATCCAGCGGGAACAGGAGGAGATTGAGGTGCAGCTAAAGGATCTGGAGGCCCGAGGAGTCCTTATCGAGAAGGCCCTAAGGGGCGAGGCGCACAATATTGAAAAGTAAGTATGAAATCGGAGGATTAGAAACCAAACTAAGTTTCTTTTTTTTCAGCCTGGACACAAACAAGGACAACGATGAGAAGCTATTGAAGGAACTTTTGGAAATTTGGCGTAACATAACAGCGCTCAAGTAAGATGAGACTTTTAGGTTATGAGGATAATTACTATAATATTTTATTTAAATTAGAAAACGCGACGAAGAACTAGCTATACGCCAACAGGAACTACAACTGGAGTATCGGCATGCCCAGCTGAAAGAAGAGCTGAACCTGCGATTGTCTTGCAATAGTAAGTATTGGCTGAAGAATGTCCCCATTGTTCTATTATAACTTTCAATATCTTCCAGAACTGGACAAAAGCTCTGCCGATGTGGCCGCCGAGGGTGCCATACTCAATGAGATGCTGGAAATAGTCGCCAAACGAGCTGCCCTACGACCCACTGCCTCCCAATTGGACCTAACCTCAGCGGGAGCAGCATCAACCTCCACAGAGGCCGGCACTAGCATCAAGCTAACCGGCCAACCACAAGACCATGAAGAATCAAATGTAAGTTTCAGAAAAAATTATAAAAAAAAACTAGTCTAACTAATTTTCATTCCAGATTTGAAGAAAAAAAGTTCCCTGGGGTCTGCTGGTCCACGAAATTGTGCAAGGACTTTTGAGCCTAAATACTTAAGTTGGGGGAGAGGAGCAGCAGGAGAATGTACCAAAAATCAGCTGAATATTCAAATTAACAATTACTAAAACCCATGAGCTGTAAAGGAAACGAGCAAACAACTATTCAGAGTGATTAGGCGGCGCAGAGAACAAATTAAATATATTTAAGTAGTAGAGAGGCCTAACTAATGTTGGTGGAGCGCGCAAGTGAGAGGAAGAGAAACTAGATAACAGGCAGAGAAGAAATCAAAACCAAAAAACTAATTTTGCAATTCGAAAGTAAGGGTTACGACCGTTCTCGAGGAGAACATCTTTAGTTCTTTATTCAACCTACTCTTACGTTTAGTTAGTCGTTGCCACTAAAAATTGTCTGATCTTTGTATGTCCTATGCAATATGTTGTGTTTTATTTTTTGTAAATGTAATGAGTTGGTTTGAGTGTATTACGTGAATATGTGCAAAAGGCTTTGTGATCTGGAGCAACTGTAAATGGTGTATTTGAGTTTACTTAGGTTATTTGGCACTTAGATATTGTTTGTCGACGTCTGAGTATACCGTTGGAATGTATTATTATTTATTTGAAGAATCACACTCACGTTTAGCGAACATAGCACACCACACATCCATGTATGTAATATGTCATTTTATGCCCAACCAAATTGAAAGTGAACACAAAGAGATACACACAAATATTTTCTATATGCTAGAAAGCGTATATATTATGATATAAAGAGAAAAAGCAACCATTATACTTGTATACTAATGAAGTGAATAAAATTATTGTGTAACTTTTATTTATAACCTGCATATATGAACATATTTATCGAATTTATTATGTAAACTTTTCGATTTACTTTAAATTGAATAAAGATTTTATAAAACGTAAAACGATCTTTTTGAAGAAGGAAAGGAGACTTTGGGCCAAAATTTTGGGGCTAAAAATCTAGAATTGGGAAGAAAATTCTATAAAACAACAACGTACAAAGTACAATACTATAGTCGACGCAGTGTAAATCTTTTCCATTAGCATCAATTTATTTGAAGCATAGTTGTTCCATTTTGAATATGATCTTAAACGCTTTGTAAGGGAAATTTAAAAATATGACCGTTAAAAAGAATGCCATCTCTAGAGTGTTATCGATAACAATCCTTCAGTGTTGAAAAACGTATTACAACGTTTCTGCAAGCGCGAATTCCTCGGTGGTAAACAAAGTAGAAACTTGGGCAGATAAATAAAGGAATTTTTCTGATAATTTTGATAAGCATGGCGGACAAGAAGTCGTTGGGAGAAACCAAGAAATCAACGCAGACATCAGCGGCTTCAAAAAAGGCGGAAAAACTTCAAAAGAAGTCGGTTAAGGGGTCTCAAACCACTGGGCTGGGTGATGGAGAGGAAATGCCGGCAAAGTCCTCGGCGCAGCCCACTGCGTACAGCATGCGACCGGCTTTTGGAGAGATGTTTCCCCTGCCCATTGTAAAGAATATAATGAACAGCGTTATGGCCGAAAAACTGAGAGGTACGTAATTAAAGGTAGTTAAAAAACAATTGGTTACCTAGCAACTGTGTATTTCTAGAAAAAACCTATGACAAGGACGTGGCCAGTAAGTGGACCAGTGAAATAGCCGACGAGATCAACCAGCAGATTGCATCCAATCCTAAGGTCAAACGGTACAAGCATGTGGTCCAGGTGATGCTTGGCCAGGAGCTGGGAGCAGGAGCCACCTACAATTCGCGTTGCTGCTGGGACTGCGACTGCGACACCTCCATATCCGAGGTCTACAGCAACACCAGTTTGTTTTGTGTGTGTACTGTGTTTGGGACTTATCAGTATTAGAGTCCTGTTGCATCCAGAGGAACTGACTAGGCTAAGCATGCTAATATATTTATTTTGTTGACATTTGAACGGATGGAACACCGATTAGGCTAAGGACCAATCTCACCTCATTTTTTATTTTTTTCAAAATGGTAAGCAGTTTTTATACAAACTTATATTTACACCTTAGAGTAGATATATAACTCTGCTTATTTGTAGGCACCGGGAACCGAAAGGGAGCTTCACTTTCGATGCTTGACCTTCGTCGCGCCTCATTGGATGCGCACGTTCAGCGGATTCAGTATGCGGCCCGACATTACAGCGACGTCCAGGTCGCGATCAATGATGAAAAACATAAACGGATGGTTCACAGAGATCTGAATGGGCTTCGTTTGCGCGCCATAGTTGCCTGGCGAGTAGAAGGAAGTGTTTATTGCATTTTACATAAATACTCTTGCCACTGGAGACTACTGGCTGTTGCAGCAATAGGTGAGGCAGCAAAGATGTGCGTTGCGCCTCAATGCCTTCGTGGAGGTGTGCTGCAATGCAAGACACTTACGCTTCAGCTGATTGATGGGATGCGTTCGGATGGTGACGTCTATGGATTGCTCAATGTGCCGCACATAGACGCCCTTCTCATCAGTCATGGGTCGAAAATCGGCTCGATTTGGCTCAAAGACGTCACAGCTGTAAAACGAAAGTAAAAGTAAGAAGAAGTGTATGAAGATTCCCAGATTCAGCACTGCTTACATTCCCATCTGCAATAAAAAGCAAAAAAATACTCCAATCTCAATAAAAAGCACTGAAAATGAAGTTATTTGCAAATTTCAAAACTCACATTCTGCAGGTCATTGGTGAGAAACATGGTTCCGTGGAGCTTAAAGTCTGGAATGATGGCCTGAACCCATCGTGGCTTCAATTGCTTCCTCATAAGCCGGAGGGTGGGTCCCAGTTTCAAGGAGGCGGCAGCTCCAACAATGTCTGTTTGGTAGTCGGGCAGTAGTATCATTAGATTGTACTCTGGCGTGTCCAGCTCCAGTTCCAGCACACTCATTTTTAGGTGCTCGAAGTACTTGTAGTACAGCACGGCATTGTATACCTTGAAGGTGGTGTGCACCACCTGCTGATTGCCCAAGTAGAAGACATGGCTAATCACATCCGTGTTATAGTTAGACTTGCTCTCTGCCGCATCACTCACAAAATGCGGCTCGAAATCATTTGTGATTGGGGCGAATGCAGCGGGAACTGGCGGAGGAATATGCAGATGATGCGGTGGCACATGCGGATGTGGGCTAAACAGAGTCAAGAAGAGATTCGCGTCCAGATCCTTGTAGCCGGGAAGAGCGTGGCGCTTGTGTCGTGCCACTTTTGGTCGTCTGGATTGTGAAGTGTTCGCCACTGGCGGAGCTGAAATGGAAATTACTTGCCGGAGGGGAGATGGCTTTCTTTCTGCCACCTGACGAGCCATCATTGGCATAGCTGCTATTGTCCTTGCGCTGGGAAGGTAAAGAGGCTTTGGTGTGATCGGATTCGAGTGCTTGAGAGGTGCTTGGAGCTTGCTAATGGGCAGCTTGGAAACCCTAGCCTTCTGAATACGAAGCAGCGGTTCGGCATCCTCCTCAGCCACAAAAGCGGAAACTAACTCGGCTGCCTCATCATCGGCAGCAGGCTCAGCAGCCTCCTCTCCTGATGCGGCTGGCGCTTCTGTGGTGGCTTCCTCAGCCGGAGCTTCCGTTGTCGTTGTGGCAGGCTCCTCGGTAGTTGTCGTGGCTGGAGCTTCTGTAGTGGTTGGAGCCTCCGTTGTGGCTTCGGCCTCTTTCACTGTGGTGGTCTCTTCCATTTCCCCAGCCGTGGCATTACTGGCCATGGTGGTGTTCACCATCTCAGCTTCCCCCGTTAGATTGGCTGGCTTCGAGGATAGCATATCCACACTCAAATCGTAGCCATAAAACATGAGAACTGTCTCAAAGTCCTTCAGGACAGTGACATTGCCCTTGTTCAAACTTAGTCCTTTCAGGGGATTGTCGGAGCCAAAGAAGTAGGTCTAAAATCGGAAGTTTAGAATAAAAGTTTTTCAAAAATTAAAATAGTTTAAACTTCTAGTGTTTCTACAATATTTTCTAATCAATTTCTCTAACCAAAACGCACATTTTGTTTGCCAATTAAATAATCTATTCACTTGGACAATGGCTGATCACTTTTTTTGGGTGATTATTTGGCTTGAATGAGGTCGTCGAACTATTGAAACCCGATTAGAGATCGATGGGCAGTGGCCAGAGACACTGGCCTGGGGCAATTTGTTTGGCAGTACGCATGTTTTGTTTTAATTCTGTTCTTTATCAATGGCCACTTGGTTTTGGCCCTCCCACAGTTGCCCCCTCGGGCCCCCTTCCGGACGAGTGCTTAGCCAGGCATGTAAATGTGCGTTGGCATTTCATTTGGATGGGTTTCAAGTGGCCTTCCTCTCCGGGGGCTGTGGGTTAAGTTCAACGCCAACCACATCGGCCCATTTTGGGGGCTTAAAAAAGTGTAATACGTTTAACCGTTTTTTGCTGGTTTAAAAAATAAATAACTTATTTCATTCAAACCAATCTCACCCTCAAACGTCGATGAATGTCGCGATATCCCACTCGGATGACATCGCGGTTGTTGGGAAGTTGCAATACGTTTCTTAACTCTGCAGCACTATTTCCCGCAGATCCTTCGTACAGGGCAACCAGGACACTGACCAAAGCCGTTGGCGAGAAGGCGAAATTGTTTCGATTTAGAATAGAATGATAGTGGAGCAGACGGTGGGTGAGGTCGTTGGTCAAGTCTACCATCACCTCGGCGGGTGTGAGCTCCTTGGCGGCGAGCACCTGAGGCAGGTGATCCAGGGGTGTCAGCGATGGCGGTGGAGGAAAATGGGGATGCGGAAAACCGCTGGCTCGAAACTCTTCATGATCGATCTGGATGTAGTGACTCGCCACGCTCCGGATGTGGGCCAGCTGGAGGAGCAGCACCACTAGCACCAAGCGAGCCATGACAATGCAGCTGACCTTGCTCCCAGTTGATAGCATTTGATTGATACCCGCACTTAGCACTTAGCACTCAGTTTGTCGCGTTTGCGGCTTTTTAGCAAAAAAATTGGCAAGCTCTGTCCGCGTTCATAAATAGCAGTCTGTTCATTATTTTCCACAGTTTAAATTTTTTTTCCCCAATTCCGAATCAATTAGGTCTGGGTTCGCCCAAGGTGATGACTATTTTGAAAATTTGTCAACCGTCAAGCGGATCGCGTTTTCCATGCAATTCTACGTATTGGTGGATTGATTTTAAATATTTCAGTTCGAATAGTTTTACTGGGAGTTAGTTTTAAATTTCGAACTGATTCGCGTGATTGCTGCTGCCAAACTGAGCTCGAATCGGGCTCGGCTCTCTGCTAAAATACGAATTCTGATCGGGGGACCATGGGATCGGCTCATAAAACTCGGCCTTTTGGTTCGTTCGGAACTTTTTTTACAGCCATCGTCGTAGAAAGTATTTGGGCTTATAGACTAGGCTTATAAGCCCATTTCATCTATTAGACCTAACACGCTCGTTTTCAGAAAAATAATCAATAGAAGTGGTCTGGATTCAATTAAAATAGATGCATTAAATATCCCCGAAGGAGTGACTTCCCCAAATGATAGAATCTCTGATAATTAATATTACTAATTCTAATTCTCTCACCGTCTTGGGTAAAAAAGCCTAAAAAACAGTAACTCGTCGGAAGTAAATGGGAAAAGTCATGGCACCGGTAAAAGTAATAATTCTACAGGCCTTGGATTATTTCTGTATACTCAGCGGAAATGTGGAGTTTTACAAAGATCCAAAGTCAAAACGTCTGCAAAGGTCCAAAATCCTGGGTTTTTATCGAGTTTTTCTTAACCTTGTACTTTTAATTTTAACAACTAAATTTGTGTTGGATTTTTATGAATTTCATGGCACCGAAATTAAGGCTTCAATGTTTATTAAGATAAACTTTCTGTTCTATTTCACTGTGGTATACCTTTCCGTTTTGAGTTGCATACATTGTTCATATCTCTGCCAAAACTATATCTTTCGAGTTCGACAAAAGCTGCTGGATTTAAAAAACTACTGCAAAAAGCGTTCCTACTTAGTGCCTACGGATAAACAGCAATTTCTGGATGGCATACTCTTTCTTGTGGCAATGCTGCTGATCTTGAGGGTCAGCATGCATGTGATTCTAAATGTCCAACAATACAAAATGGGGAACTGGAACTGTTTCCTATCGGAGAATATGATTTTTTCCATGAACACCCTAGCTTTTGGAATCTTGATGGAGATATGTGAGTGTTGGTGGCGATTGCAATCCGGATTGGAGGGGTTGCTATTGAATCAGAAACCAATACCAGCGGAAAAGCAACTACGACAGATTCGTGAACTCCAAAGAATGTTTCAGACACTTATGGATCTAATTATTGAGGTTACGTGTATCTTCAAGCTTATTTTCCTCTGCTATTTGGTCCGCAACATTTGGAGTGGCATCGTGTTGGGTTACCTAATTGTTAGGATGTTTCTGATCTCTGACTGCTTTGCGTTTATGCACATTCTCTTGGCTTTTGTGACCTGCGTCCAACCACTGTTGTACGCCATTGTGATGAATTTTATATTCTGCTCTACGGATACCTTGGTTGAGGCTGTTAAGGATATTTTAAGGCAACCTCTTAAGCACAGTGCTTCTGTGGAAAGAATGGTGAGGATAAAAGAAATACATTCTGAAAGAAAATATTATTCACTTAATTTTCAGGTTGGATGGTTTTACATGCAAATGGCCAGACAGCACACCTTTATTTGTCTCTTTGGAACATTTCGGATAAACCGAGCTTGTGCCTTTAAAAGTGCAGCATGTATTCTTGTCCATGTCTTTTATATGGTTCAAGCCGATTATATAGTACTGTTTGAATAAAAACCTCTTTCCAGCAATGTATAACACGTTAAGTTTCACAGGAAAATAAAGGAAAAAATTCAAGGTTTAATTTAATGTTAATATTATATCGCATATAAACTTGGAATACCAAATTGGTATTATTGTATTGCCAATAATATTTCCGGGAAGTAGGGACCTCCGATCTGCATCAAAATATCGACGAAATCTCGAAACCAAATTTGCAGGGGGCCCATAAAGTTGTGGGTTATCCCACTTTCTCCACTTTTGCTCCTTCCGATGGCCATAGCTCTGCCAATTTGCATCCGATCAGGAAATAAAGTACCATTTTGTAATCAGCGAACCCAGAAGCGACTTTCCTCATCTAAAACATTGCTTAATTAGAGTCTTTAAATTTTTCGAATTTTTTCCTAGGGGTACCCTTACAAAATTGTGGATTTTCCTGCTATCCCCACTTTTGCTCCTTCCGATGGCCATAGCTCTGCCAATTTGTATCCGATCAGGAAATAAAGTACCATTTTGTAATCAGCGAACCCAGAAGCGACTTTCCTCATTTAAACCATTGCCAAAATAGAGTTTTCAAATTTTTCGAATTTTTTCCTAGGGGTACCCTCACAAAATTGTGGGTTATCCCACTTTCTCCACTTTTGCTCCTTCCGATGGCCATAGCTCTGCCAATTTGCATCCGATCAGGAAATAAAGTTCCATTTTGTAATCAGCGAACCCAGAAGCGACTTTCCTCATCTAAAACATTGCTTAATTAGAGTCTTCAAATTTTTCGAATTTTTTCCTAGGGGTACCCTTACAAAATTGTGGATTTTCCTGCTATCCCCACTTTTGCTCCTTCCGATGGCCATAGCTCTGCCAATTTGTATCCGATCAGGAAATAAAGTACCATTTTGTAATCAGCGAACCCAGAAGCGACTTTCCTCATCTAAAACATTGCTTAATTAGAGTCTTTAAATTTTTCGAATTTTTTCCTAGGGGTACCCTCATAAAATTGTGGATTTTCCTACTATCCCCACTTTTGCTCCTTCCGATGGCCATAGCTCTGCCAATTTGCATTCGATCAGGAAATAAAGTACCATTTTGTAATCAGCGAACCCAGAAACGACTTTCCTCATCTAAAACATTGCTTAATTAGAGTCTTTAAATTTTTCGAATTTTTTCCTAGGGGTACCCTTACAAAATTGTGGATTTTCCTGCTATCCCCACTTTTGCTCCTTCCGATGGCCATAGCTCTGCCAATTTGTATCCGATCAGGAAATATATACCATTTTGTAATCAGCGAACCCAGAAGCGACTTTCCTTATTTAAAACATTGCTAAAATAGAGTTTTTCCTAGGGGTACCCTCACAAAATTGTGGATTTTCCTGCAATCCCCACTTTTGCTCCTTCCGATGGCCATAGCTCTCCCAATTTGTATCCGATCAGGAAATAAAGTACCATTTTGTAATCAGCGAACCCAGAAGCGTTTTTCCTCATCTAAAACATTGCTTAATTAGAGTCTTCAAATTTTTCGAATTTTTTCCTAGGGGTACCCTCACAAAATTGTGGATTTTCCTGCTATCCCCACTTTTGATGGCCGATGGCCATAGCTCTGCCAATTTGTATCCGATCAGGAAATAAAGTACCATTTTGTAATCAGCGAACCCAGAAGCGACTTTCCTCATCTAAAACATTGCTTAATTAGAGTCTTTAAATTTTTCGAATTTTTTCCTAGGGGTACCCTTACAAAATTGTGGATTTTCCTGCAATCCCCACTTTTGCTCCTTCCGATGGCCATAGCTCTCCCAATTTGTATCCGATCAGGAAATAAAGTACCATTTTGTAATCAGCGAACCCAGAAGCGACTTTCCTCATTTAAAACATTGCTAAAATAGAGTTTTCAAATTTTTCGAATTTTTTCCTAGGGGTACCCTCATATAATTGTGGATTTTCCTACTATCCCCACTTTTGCTCCTTCCGATGGCCATAGCTCTCCCAATTTGTATCCGATCAGGAAATAAAGTACCATTTTGTAATCAGCGAACCCAGAAGCGACTTTCCTCATTTAAAACATTGCTAAAATAGAGTTTTCAAATTTTTCGAATTTTTTCCTAGGGGTACCCTCACAAAATTGTGGATTTTCCTGCAATCCCCACTTTTGCTCCTTCCGATGGCCATAGCTCTCCCAATTTGTATCCGATCAGGAAATAAAGTACCATTTTGTAATCAGCGAACCCAGAAGCGTTTTTCCTCATCTAAAACATTGCTTAATTAGAGTCTTCAAATTTTTCGAATTTTTTCCTAGGGGTACCCTTACAAAATTGTGGATTTTCCTGCTATCCCCACTTTTGCTCCTTCCGATGGCCATAGCTCTGCCAATTTGTATCCGATCAGGAAATAAAGTACCATTTTGTAATCAGCGAACCCAGAAGCGTTTTTCCTCATCTAAAACATTGCTTAATTAGAGTCTTCAAATTTTTCGAATTTTTTCCTAGGGGTACCCTCACAAAATTGTGGATTTTCCTGCTATCCCCACTTTTGATGGCCGATGGCCATAGCTCTGCCAATTTGTATCCGATCAGGAAATAAAGTACCATTTTGTAATCAGCGAACCCAGAAGCGACTTTCCTCATCTAAAACATTGCTTAATTAGAGTCTTTAAATTTTTCGAATTTTTTCCTAGGGGTACCCTTACAAAATTGTGGATTTTCCTGCTATCCCCACTTTTGCTCCTTCCGATGGCCATAGCTCTGCCAATTTGTATCCGATCAGGAAATAAAGTACCATTTTGTAATCAGCGAACCCAGAAGCGTTTTTCCTCATCTAAAAAATTGCTTAATTAGAGTCTTCAAATTTTTCGAATTTTTTCATAGGGGTACCCTCACAAAATTGTGGATTTTCCTGCTATCCCCACTTTTGATGGCCGATGGCCATAGCTCTGCCAATTTGTATCCGATCAGGAAATAAAGTACCATTTTGTAATCAGCGAACCCAGAAGCGACTTTCCTCATGTAAAACATTGCCAAAATAGAGTTTTCAAATTTTTCGAATTTTTTCCTAGGGGTACCCTCATAAAATTGTGGATTTTCCTGCTATCCCCACTTTTGCTCCTTCCGATGGCCATAGCTCTGCCAATTTG